GCCTGTTTAGAGGGCCACGTCTGCCTGATCCAGCCAGTATGCAATTCGGGCTTTTAAAAAAATGCCCCGGGAACATAAAATAAAACTTTTTTTTTTTTTTAATACTCACCTGATCCGATCCACCGACAAGCGCAGCGTCCCGCCTCTCACGCTGTCAGAATATGCATACAGAGCGTGTCGGTAACTATTTAAACCGGCGTGTGCAGCTTCTGAGAAGATACGCTATTATCGGATTAAGAGACATCAGTTAAGGTAAGTGCTAACATTTACATTGGGGGGAGGGTAAAAAAATTGACTTTAATGTCACTTTAATGTCTCCCCTCAATGAAAAAATGGGGGAAATTTGTTTTAAGTCCCCCGGAAGAAATAACCCCGGAAGTATAGCAAATATAACGTTGGGTTCAGACACACACGAGGCCACAGAAAAGGTGACACAGTATTCTTCCTCCTCCATCATAACCAATTCCCACTGAAGGGGTACTCCAGGTCAGTGCTGGTACATTTACTAAATGCGGCATGCGCATGTATACCCTTGCTGTGGAAACAGGAAGCCCCACCTTTGATACGACTCTGGTTTACCAAAGTGAATGACATTAGAACCATGGAGGACCTTCACGAGTACCTCCGCAAAATTCGCAAACACCTGGTTTTACTGGGACGAATTCACCACAACGGCCAAATACCGTGCCATCATGGCCTCTTGAGTAAAGCCCACCTTGCACCCACGCCCCTAGACTGCTCCTTCCTTTCCTCCATCTCTTCCCTCCTGCCTGTCCGAAACCCTCTACCCACCCCCTGTATGTTTCCCCCTCTCCTTACCCTCGGATCCATCCCAGAGAACACGACTGTGTACGCAAAGTGTATAATCTGCCACATCGGGCAGACCTTAAGATGCCAGTATATATACTTCTACTCACCACATTAAAGTGATGCACACTATTTAACATTTGGCATGTCCTTCAAGGGTACAGGGACTCGACACACTTTAAATGACTGCATTGACCGAGGTTGATCTGTATGTCAGTCCCGCATATATGTGATCTTTGTTGTGTAATGTTATATTACGTTTACCTCTGTTGTTCCATGCTTAATAGATACAAATGTCAAATTTATAAAAAAGAAAGGGTGACACAAAGGGAAGATTTCTGGTTAGTGGCTAGTGCAGGCTGACAATCAGTGTCCACAGAAGAGTCCTGCGAAGAAGCTTCAGATAATGGAAGACATTCAGAACTCTTTTTTGATATCAGCCATGTTATGGTGACTCAAATTCCGTCACAAAAACAAACATCACTAACCGACTCCTTGACAAGAGAAGGGTACTTACCCAGTCACTTAAATTAGGAACCAGAATGGGGATAAAAAGGCTTCTGTTTGAAATAAATGCCCTCACAGTAGCAAACTTAGTGGTTCCAATTTTTTTACCACTTCTGGGGAGATGGAAAGACAGCTGGGTCACTCATTTTAAAGTAATAGGCTGCCAGAATGTGTGCGCACCGAGGACAGGAGAGAAGCTGCAGTTGCACACTATAAGAGAATATTCAAGACTGTGCAGTGAGAAGTATATTGTGTAGACAAGGGGTAAAGGTGGGACTGAGAACAACACAGAAAGGGATGGACAGCAATACCAGCCTCGCAGACAAGCCCCTGGGATCTAGAAATCCAGGGTCCTGCAGCCTATATTGAAAACACTGTGAAAAGCAGACCAGCGCAACCTGTGTCATCTGTTTTGGAGTGAATAAAAGCACTCCCACTGTTTGATGAAGAACAGGGTTTGTAAGATAAGTCTTGATGCACCTCAGGAAAACACTGATACATGTCAGATGGATTAAGGAGAATGCGAGAATCAAAATCCAAACTGTCCACCAGTCAGCTGCCAGATTGTAGAACTAGTCTAATAAACAAATACTGGATCTAGAAAAAAAAAAACAAGTCCTTACTCCTCTACGCTAAGTGAAAAAAACTGACATTCTCTGACAGTGGAGGGGTTAAGCCACTCTAAGGAGCTGTCCTTCAAGCTGCCTGTTTATTTTTTTACAGTTTGTGTCCTACTCCTGGAAATGGACAGCATAGCCCACTGGTTCTGACCTTTAATCAAAGCTGTGTCTTTCATTGAACATAATAGTTAGAACCATGGCCATTTTTTTTTAAAAGTGTATAGTTTTTTTTCTATCGTGTATAATCAGGGCAATTTTGATTCCATCTCCTTGTGGTTAATCAGAGCCACATTTCAACTACTTTGTCACAATGACAAAACAAAGAAAAATAATTTAAAGTTTGATCTAACACATTGACACAAGTATGGCCACCTACATTAAAGGAGAACTATGGGGTCAGGGCTTTTCCCCATAGTTCTCGTAAGGGTCACGGGAGAACACAAACTAATGTTCTCTCGTGACCCAAAGCTCAGTATACTGAGACAATACTGTCTGGATCCACCCAGCTGCGGGATTGACAGCTGGCTCTGCCTATCCAGAGGCAGAGCCAGCTGAACCCGCCCCCTCCCCCATGGGTTCTGCCAGTCAGCGCTGGAGGATCAGACAGGGGAGGGGGGAAATCCCTGCAGGGAGCTGTGAGTGACAGTCACGGCTCTCTGCGGGGATGGATCGAGAAGTGAGCGAGCGACGGTATGTGTTCGCTCACTTCCCGATCTACTGAGCCGACCTGTGACAGTTTCATTGTCACAGGTCGGCTCAGATTATGAGGCTGAGTGAAAATCACTCGCTTCATAATTCTCCTTTAATGACCAGCATAGGAGCCTGAATATGTAGACAGAGAGTGGGTGTCTCACTTTTCAGACTGCATTATCTATATGTCCTGAATAAAAAAAAGTAGATATAAATATACAAACGTATTTATACTCATCAATAAATAATTAAGTAAAAAACAGTATAGTCTCTTTTGTATGTATCAAAAGAAAAATTAAATGTGTATAATCTACAGTGACATTTTACAATTTTTTTTTCAGTGATGGAATGTTACCACAGACTGTAGCGAAAATTCAAATAAAAGCAACATGATTAACATTACACAATGAAAGAGGAACGAATCTCCCTAAGTTACCAACCTCATCAATTGTTTCATCCTGCGGCGTTGCAGCACTCTCATCAGAGTCCTTTTGGTAGCTAGAATCAGTGTTTTTGCGCACATCCCTACTTTTTTTGTGTTTATGGGCCAATTTCTTCACATGTCCATCAGCTTTTCCACTGCTGAGCCGCCTCACAGGGCTTGTTAACCATTTTCTCAAAGTATTACCAGGGCGTTTTGGACCTGGTGAGCTCTGTGTACCAAGTGCATGGGGTTGGAGGGAGTTAAACGAAGATGGTGGACTTCCATCATTACCAGAACCAGAGTAGTCTGCAAGAAAGGAATATCAAAATTAGATATGTTACCTTCGTCAAAATCAGATTCATTTTACATGGCAAAATGAAAACCTCATGTCTCCCAAGTCAGATTTTTGTTTTAAAAAAAAAAGGAGAGAGATTGGAAACAAAAGGAAGATGGAGCAGGATAACAGAAAGCAAATGCCAGAAATTCATCAGAATAAAGTGTCTCTTGCTGTGCTTTTCTCTCACATTTTATAACTGAGGCAGTATCTGTATGTCAATTTATATTTCCGCAAATACATTTTCTATGCTGTGCAATTCTACACTCTTTTCTTTTTACAGAAAAACGATGGGGCACAATTTTGATGCCAGTATGGACATTCTATACATAACTATTTGTAATCATAATATAAGTATTGCACAAGGCAAATATCAATCATTAAAACATAGATTATCTTTTGTATTATGGTCACACATTCCATTCCCAAAACATAGACTGTCCTCCCCTTATCAGAATCGTTGGGTGCGTGTAGTGTGCAGAATTCTATCTTGCTTTAAATTTAACATGGCTATGTATAGCTTTGCCTGCACAATCGTGTCCATCCAGGCAGGGGATTGTTTCAAAACATTGATTGCAAGTCCCATCTGCCATCGTGGCACATGGGACTTGTAGAAATCATGCTGAAGATCCCTCCTTCCTCATCACTGTAGTTCGGCAGCACATCCTCCAGCTTGGGGGAGGGGTTTGCAGAAGCCTGAGCATTGTACCTGTGATGCAATGATCTCAGATTGTAATGCTCTGCAAAACATTATTAAATGCACATTTTAAATTTTAACAATGTGGATAAATGTGTTACTCTTTTTTAGTTGGACTATGCCCCTAAATCAATGATGGTGTCCATGTTTATTCTGGACATATTGCACAATTTTCAGATGAAACATGATAAGCTTGTTATGAGAAAGGCTGCATTCAAACACCCTTTGACTGCATGACGTTTAAGTGGAGCTGTTGACAACTTTCTGATAACTACCAGTGTGATTATGTTTTTCTGAAATGTTACAGAGGAAATTCACTATGCTGAGCTTTTTATTTGATTTATTCATTAGGAACTGACAGTCAAAAGTCATTTTGCACAGAAAAATTGATAAATAATGTAGAAAAAGACAATGCTCAAACATATCCTTGGCACTAGATGTTTAGTTGGTGCCTAGGGAACATGGAAACAAATAAACACATTAAAATATTTTAATCTTAACATCTGAACACCTAGAATAAAGGCAAAGAGATTAGTTGACACTTAGCTATCTTAATATTTTGTCTATGGTTACAGACAGCAAAACAAACAATAAAAGTGGAACAGCTTCAGACTATCAAGATGTAATTTATTTGAAAGAAAGTACCATATTTAACAAATTACTAACATGGAGAAATTGGGGTTGCACAGGCACAGCCTAGATGGCAGATGCATGTTAGCTCGGCTTTGCAGCTAACATGCTTTGCAACTAAATATTAGCCTCCACGTGTGACTTCTTTGAGTATCATTACCCAGCAACACTCCCTGTTAATTTTCCTGTGTGCAAGTGCCCCAGAAAAAAGATCTGCTTCTCTCTAAATATGAAAATGTACAACACAACACTGTCAGAGGGATTATCTGGGAGCATACCCATCCCAGATCGCAAAGAGCCAAGCTCTTGAGATGCAAGAAATGTGGGGTTCACAAAGCACAGAGAAGGGCCAAAGGAGTACCTGATGAGTACCAATAGTATCAAGGTGATAGAAATTTCGGCCGTATTCATTTATCTATATAAATGCTCAAGTACTATCTTTCGTCCGAAATTGCTGTGCGCTGCTCTGTGTTCCCTCTGACACACTGCAGCGTCCAGCGTGGAAAAGAAAAACAGTCAGGAGGCCAAACGGTGTGGGGAGAGCACTGTGAGCGTGTCACAGGAGGAGCTCTCCTCCCGCACTGCCTTCTATAACAGATCAGGAGAGCGGTGTGTGCGCGGAGACAGCTGTCAAAGACCGGGCCAGCGGTGAGGGGGAGGAGTCAGCTGTCAAATGAGACCAAGCTCCCCTGCCCACATTGCCTGCTCAGCCTCCTGTGATAGCCGATCCAGGATGGAGAATGGTATACAAACATTCAATGATTAGTGAGCGCAGGAATGTTTGTACTATAGTATGAGTTACTATGTGCAAGTTATGAATGAATAGGACGTGATCTACATCACGTCCTATTCATTCATGATTGTGTACATAGTAACTCATACTATATCCACAATGAATGAACGGGACCACCCAGCACTGAATTTCCTGTTCATTTAGTGCTGGAGCTGCAGAAAAAGAGATTGAGGACTCTGTGTCCCCAATCTCTTTTTCTATGGTAAAAGGGGAATATCAGGGGTAAAGTAAAGCTTTTAGTAAAGCTAAAAAAAGACAAATATTTAATTAAAAAAATATATACATTTTTTTAAAAACGTTTTGCATTTTCATGACTGAGCTTTTTTTTTGCTCCTTAATGACTGAAGCACTTGTTACATTTTTGCTGTGTGATTCTTTCACAGCAGTAATTTACTTTCTTACTAAGTGCACCCACACACATTATATATTGTTTTTTAGAGGACAGATAGAGCTATATATTTAGATAACATATGTGTGCCTAACGCCTCACTTAGAATAAATAAACATTTTAAAAAATTAGCGAAAAACATAAAGCAAACACTTTTCCCCCAGTTTTGATTAGTATTGTTTGGAAAAATAGCACCGCTAAAAAAAAAAAAGCATTAAAATAAATTAATGTATTTGTTCTTTATTTAGAAACACCTTACATCCCTAAGGTCTCAGACTTTTTTGTACTTCTTGACAAAAACCTAAAAACTAACATTTAATATTTGTTCTCTAAAAGCTAATAGTGGTCACCAGGTTAGACAGGTAGAATGCAATGTCACTGTCATTAAGTGTCACTAACTGTCACACCTAAAGCCCATGACACACTGCAGGCGAAGCGACGCGGCGCACAGGCGATCGGCGACTCGCGGCCCTTCGCCTGCAGTGTATCTTGTGAGTTCCGATCCCCCGCTCTGCCCACAGCGTGCATAGCATGAGATGAAAAAGTTAATCTCCAACCAATCACAGCGCGCGATGCACTGAATGCATCATAAAGCGGCAACACGCGACCAGCCAATCAGAATCTCACTTCTCCTCTGTCACTCAGTTCTCTGTTTCCAAAAGTCTAGTCAGTCCTGAGGAGAAGTTTGAGTGGTATGTGCTATTCTATCCAGTTGTTTATC